CCCGGCCTCAGGTTGGCATGATAGCCCATACTCTCATGATTCACCATCTCCGACTGACTTAAAAGAAAGCAAATAGGTAGAGGACAGAAACCTTCAATCAGTGCATGCTCTGGACCACATCTGCCAAGCCCATTGGTGCTCCAATGGCCAGCCTACCCTTCGGCTGTTGGCTTTGTTGGATAAATCAGGGTTGTGTTAACTCTTCAATCCTCAAGATACAATGGCCAACTTTTCGAGGATAAACATGCTTGCCGAGAAGAGTAAAACAAATCAGCCGTGCACTTGGTGGTCACTCATGCAGCAAACAAAGTGCTAACTACTCTGCAGACACAAGCTCGTGTGAGGGACAATGAGGGAAAACTGGGCCAGCATATTGGGACAGGCTTCCCGGCAGAGGATTCCAGAACCTACTTGACAAGTGGAATTTCCACTCCCATCCTGGGAGAATGGGGCATGTGGACATGATTAGCTCACCTTGTTTTAACAATCCCAAAGTTTCCCCAGCCCAGAAATCGCAGCTGGGCAGATCCCCAGCTAGGTGAATACAGGCGAGAGGGTGTTTGTGGTGGGTGGAGGCCCTGTCCTTTCTCCGGTGGAGAAAGCCATTTATGACCTCACGGGATGAAAGGAACCAACCCAGGCCCGCTGAGCTGTTATTATAACAATTATCAGGATCTATCCCCTCCCTTTGGGAAATGTTCCCTTTCAAGTTGCAGTGCCCTGATGTACCCTGGTTCACAGTTGCTCGCAATCATTACCGGGTGCCCTGGGCAACTTATTAATGCCTTTTTTCCTACGTGGATGGATGCTATCCTGTTTAAAGGGCTGTAGCTTTGCAAGGGGTTCATTAAGCCTCTGCAAGGTGGTGGTGTGCATGCATACACAGGTGTGCAAGGGGTCTGACTGTTCTGTCCCACAGCAACCTCCCCCCGGCTTGCCTGGATGATTAAACAAGCCAGCCTTGAGAGGTGTGGATGGCTTTGATCCTGCTCAGCCTCCCTGCTTTTGAGCACCAGGAGGAGGAGGCAGGGAGGAGAATAGGAGGAATGTTTTCCCAGTTTTTTTTCCTGTTGAGTGACTCACCGGTGCCACACCCCAGCTGCAGAAGCCTCGGAACACTTGGGTTTGGGGCTCAAGGGCATGCACAAACCCCATTTCCTTCTAGGAGTTTTCTCAATACTAGAGTTCTCCTACCTGGGTCTCGTTTTCCTGGATCCAAGGCCCATTATGCTCCCACCCTGGCCACCGCTTGACTGTCCCCATTACAAGTTGGAGGGAGAAAATAAGTGACAATGGATTCTTGAGGAAATAGTATCAAACCTGCAGGTATTTTAGAAACATGGCTTACATCTATAAGTTCTGGTCATCTTATGGATAGGCACTGAAGCTCAGAGAGGTGGATACCCTGTCCATAGCTGGTGAGTGGCAGAGACAAAGGGGAACCCAGTGGTCCCATCTGGGATACCAAAGGAGGTTGGTATCCCTACCAGGAGACATTGCTTAGGAGGTTGTTCATGCTTTACCTAACATGCTTTTGAAATGAAACACTTTTTAGAAATGTGCTCCTTTTAAAGCTAAAGTGTTTGGGGAACAGCAGATGGCATAATGGTTATATTGCTGGACTCCTGCATGACTGACTGTGGTTTGAGTCCTGGACTAGGCAGGTTGAAACTCACACCAGGCATGTGTGCATGTGTGCCCAAGATCCCAAGAAGAGATTGGAGGAGAAGTGATTGCAGTATGGCCGTTACCCTAGGAAGTGATTTCTTGCTTTCTGTCTCTGTCTTTCTCTGTCTCTCTGGCGAGTATGTGAACCCTATTGAAAAACAAACAAACAAACAACAACAAAAAAAACTCTTAAAAAATTAAAATTAAAAAAAAGCAAAACATACAGAAAACAAGAAATGGAAGATCATTTGTTGACAATAACATGTTTGTTGATGTGCTTGATTGAGACAATATACAGTGTACTCTGGATGGAAAATCTCATTTTGTATGCTGTAATGACGTACAGTGAATGAATGCAAATAAATAAATTGAAATTAAAAAAATTAAAATAAAAAATTAAAGTATATTGAATCCTTTGGGACTCTGTCACCTAAACCTCATACTAACACTATGAGATTGGTATAAACTCTGTCCCATTTTATAGTTGAGAAAACCAAGTCCCAGAGAGTTATGTGCTCAAGTTTACATGGCTATAAAGTGGTAGAACCAGAATTCAAACCCATACAGCCGAGACCTCAGACCTCCTCTCTTCATTTTATCAGTAAGATCCCAATTACTACTTTTTAAAAATTGTATTCACTGTCATTACTTTATTTTTTCTTTTTTTTTTTTTTTTTTTTAAGTTGACCAGAGAGAGGCAGAGAGAGAAGGAAAGTGAGAAAGCAAGCAGGCAGGTCCAGTACCCAAACCACTATCTGTCATGGGGGAGTCCAGCTGCCTTAACCACCATACCACCTGCTGATGCCCCCCCAAATTATTTTTTAAAGTTTATTCATTTATTTATCCCATGAGTAAGAAAGACAGAGTGAGGGAGAGAGAGAGAAACAGCACTCCCAGCAAGATCTCAGTGTTGTGATCCACCACGTCTCAGCCAGCTCCGGATCATGGGCATGGACCCCTATGCTCAGGGAGGTCTCCACATGGGAACTAAGAACTCTCCCTTACAGAGGGAGTCATAGCTTAGCACTGTGCCACCTTGCAATACCTAAGCTCTGCTAAGCTCATGTTCCCGCTACAGATAGCACTTTGGAGAAGACGTCCCACATCTCAATTTCCTGTCCCCGTGGTGGGAGGGAATTGCTCTCTTGTATCTGGAAGTATTCTTTGTAGCCCACCAGGGACGTGTCCACTGGACATGGACTTTGGAGAACAGGACGGGTGAGGCTGGTTGTGGTACTCGACCATCCCAGAGCCAGGCAAGGTATTTTGTACATAACAACACCCAACAGGTGCTCACAGAGCAGAGCAGGGCTGAACAGATTAATCAGGCGCACGCAGACAGAGCCTTCCTTGATGGTCCTGCCTTTCTTGCTACCCCAAACTGCTCTCTTGACTCCCTCATACATCATCTGGATCATGATAATTTAGAGCTTCACTAAAGGTCAATTCTGCCCTCAAATAGGGGCAGGAAGGGAGATTTACCTTAGAAACATGCCTTAAAGAAAGTGTCTCAGGCTCTCTTGGGTTTCTGGGCATCGTGTATCTCCCTTGCTGGCCTTTCCTGGCCTTTCTGAATAGTCAAGGACCAGCAAGTGCTAGGCCACCTAGTCCAGGCCTTCCTCCCATGTGGAGGCTGAGAGCTTCTGTTTTCTGCAGGTGTGGAAGGTGCCCCCATTTCAGGCCTGGGGAGGAGGTACAGTGAGGGTTCTGGGGCCAGGACAAGGGCTGAGACAGAGGAAGGAGGCTGCCAAGCTGAGAGAAGAAGGAAGGAGACAGGTATAATGGAGGGGTGAGAGCCTGGAAGGGCGGCAGGGAGATAGTCAGTAGCAGGACTTGGAGACGGAGAGAGACAGCAGGGCAGGGACAGACAGAAACAGGGTGGGAGGGACTCACACAGGAGGAAGTCTACAGAGGGGGTCAGGTGGGCGGAGATAGAGAAGAGAAGCAAAGGAAGAAAGGAAAAGAAAAAGAATCAAGGAGTAGAAAAAAGAGCAAGCTGGAGAGGACATGAGCTCTCCTGGAAGGGACAGTGTTGTGCAAGGGGACAGCAGTGGGCTGGCTTCCTGTGCCCTGGGCTGACCAAGGTTGGCCTTGGAAGTAACTCCTGAAGCTGGACTGCCCTGAGTGAGGCCAGGGAAAAGCATGACAGAGCAGAGAGATACCTCCGCAGAGGCCAGGAACACAGGGAGAAGGCTCTTTCCTGGGGCTGCCCCTGGGCTTCCTGTGGCCCCATCACTCCCCTCATCCGGCCCACCTCCCTAAAAGAGCCCTTCTTTCCTCTAGTCTCAGGCTTCTGTCACCATGGAGACCAGAAAGGGACCCCTGTCAGACATCATCCCTCCTTCTGCCACCATGCAGAAGGAAATGAGGACATGCCCAGGGTGCCAAGACAACCCAGCACAAAGCCTCCTGTGGCAACACCTTCCGGCCCTCTTCCCCCAACTGGCACCGCAGTTGTCAAAGCGCCCCGGGGCTGGGGGTGGGGGTGCAGAGATTCTCCTAACCATCTTACAGATGGGGAGACTGAGGCTCCAAGAGGCAAGGTCTCCCTGCCTCTCAGTGGCAAGGTGCATAGAAGACGGCGTGGGCACCCAACCAACTGGCTTCTAAATGTCAGCTGGCAATGCCACTACAAAGTGGGCTCCTCCTCTGCCTCATTCGGATCTCTCCCAGGATGTGCTGCCCCCATATGTCCTTGGGCCAAGGTTCTAGCCCTTGTTCTAGAACAGGTGTCCGGGAAAATACGGTGGGGACACCAGCTGGAGAGGTTCCAGATGCCCTAAACAGAGCCTGCCTGTGGGTTCTCGGTTCAGGGACTCCTTGTGATCATGGATAAATTGCCCAGCTTCTTTGAGTCTCAGTTCTATCATCTGTAAAATAGCAATGCTAATACATTCCTGGAGAGATTAAAAAAAGAACCACAGAACCATAACCTAGCACCTTGGGCACTCGACAAACAGTAGTTTCTTCTCCTTCCCTGAAGGTGAACCTCAGGGTCTTCCATTACTCAGTTAATAGTGATCATGTCAATAGGGATGCCCTAGACAGGCTGCATTGGGGGCCGTCCCACATGCAGGAGGCTCAGTTAAATGTGTGGCATCCAGAGGTGCCTGAGGCAGGCTACAGGGCTGACTTTGGCTCTGCCCGCAGATAGCCAGTCATACCATCTGGGACACCCAGAGCAGTGCAAAGCATGGGATGTAGGCAAAGAGCCACGGGTCTGTCATGTTCCCCTTGTCCCTTTGTCCCCTGACACCTAGCACAGGGCGTGGGCTGAGGAGGTCACTGCAAAGAGCCCTGTGGGTTGGGATGGAAGAGGAGGAGCCTGAGCACAGGCCTCCCTTGAAATGCAAGTTGTGAAATGTCAACATAATTAGGAAAATGCAAACACAGGAGCATTTGCTTATGGGAACTAATGGTTTTTAATGGAGGTAATCAGCTTCGCTAAATCAAATTATTAGCTTTGACAATGGATGTGTAAACAGATACTTAATGAATTTGTTGATTGCTCTTGCCTGCTAAAAAGGCATTGCAGTAGTCAGTCTAGCCTCGATACACACATCTGGGCTCCCCTCCCCTGACTGACCAGCATTGCCCTCCACCACCACACACATGCACACAGCACAAACACACTGGGAGCCCGAGGCAGCAGATGTGTCTCTCCCATCAGCTCAGAGGACCCCAAATAGTGGAGGAGGAGGGCTTTCTTCTAATTCTTTGTTTTTGTTTCTCTTTGTATACACTCTATGCTTGGTTGCTGCCCAGAAGACAGTCCTTGGGGAACACGAGATCAAGGGGAGAGAGATCAGGATGAAGAAGTAAGAATGGTAAGACATCCAACTTCAGTGTCCAAGCACTCTTGCATGTATGCAAATACCTCATTTAATCCCATGGGACTGTCCCAGTATTATTCCCATTTCACAGTTCAGGAAACTAACACTCAGAGGGAGGATGCGTTATTGAGGGTGGCTCACACAGTTGTGATCAAGCCAGGCTGGGAAGCTACTTGTCTTTGATAGCATCATCCTGTCATCTCTTACCTAAGGAATAACTTGGAGTCAGGACAAAGCCCTTGCCAGCTGGAAGGCGCAAAGAAGAAATCTCCCACAATGAAGAGGTGGAGCTCTTCAGGGTATTGGGGGAGACAGTCAGAAGTGGGGGGACCAGGCTGGCTCTCAGGGGTGCAATAGATACACTGAACTGTGGTGCTGGAAGTTGCATATACTGACCTTGGATTTGGATTCCTGACCTAGTCGACTTGGAACATGTCGGACAAGCATGTGCCTAAAATCCTGGTGAACTGGAGGGCCATGGAAAGGGGGTCACAGCACAAGACCCCATCAAGGGTATTTCTCTCTCTCTCCTCTCTCTCTCTCTCAAATGCATGTACACATTCTCTCTGTCATGAATAAAATAAACTTTAAAAAAAAAAGGAAGTAAGTGTCCAGACCCTGGAATTCTCTGTGAGCCAGAAGATGGGAACTGGGTTTCCTATCCACAGAGACATCCTGGCAGGAATGATGCTCCCAAAATTTCTACTTAGGATGATCAGAAGAGAAATACCAAGGGCTAATTCAGGAGGGAGTGCAGAAAGAATCCTCCTCTGAAGAACACACACATACGTGCACACAAACACAGACACCCCAGCATTTGCCAGGCAGTGTCTCCCACAGCGCTGGGGGCAGGGTACTGGTTCTGCAGTCCTATGAATAATACAATAAGCCCAGGCAGGGGCTGGGGTGGGGGTGGTGGGGACTGAGGCAAACAACAGGCAGACACTCCCAAGAGACAACTCACCCACACCACCCTCCGAGATACCATCAGGCAGTTATACCGCAAACACAGCCAAACACAGCCGCTTGCTCGTAGTGGCAGCAGCGGAGACAGAGGTGCTACCATCTCTCACCTGGGGCTTCCAGATGGGAACATTAGTCAGACAGACAGAGGGAGGGAGAGTGTGCTGAAACCACCTCAGGCCCTAGCCAGCCTCTCCTGGTAAACAGGCCTGAGAGGCTCCACAGCTGCTTCCTAATCTGGAAATAGGAAGAGACAGAGGGTGAGGCCCAGTCCCTTCCTGAGGCTGGGGGAGCAAACACAGCCCCTGCCCTCTGGCCCCAGGGCTACTGGCCAAGGCAGTGTCCACCACCTAGCAGCTCTCCTACCATTGTGGAGAGCCTCATCTCATTTAGAGGAACCACACTTCCTGCACTCTCTTAGAGCCTGCAACTAGCTAGGGAGACGAACTATTCTCCATTAGGATGTCTGAGATGCTGACTACAAAGAGGCCTTAGCCACAGTCCACAAGGTGTGGTAAGAGTAGGGAGTAGAAGCATAGGCAGAAGGTATGAGAGAGATTCTGGCCCACTGGCCACCACCCCGAGCAATGGAGAGTGCGGAGAGCTATAGCCCAGGGGCAGCAGTGCTGTGCCTATGCGTCTTGTCAACCTAGCAGATGAAGAGACCTAAACACTGTGTCTACCTCTCCCCAAGGGAGTTGAGAGCCTGTCTCCAGAGAACTTGTCCATGACCTCAGGGTCTTTGACCAGGTGTGGCGAAGTGATTTGGTAACTCCAGAATTCCTTCCCAGAAGTAACAGATCTCTTCTCAACTTGAAGCTGGTGATTTAGAAACATGAAATTGAAAAAGTAGCCTGGCCCTAGAACTGGGGTTGTCACCAGGGTGGAAGAGTCAGACCAAAGGAAGGAAGAGAGGGCCTCTTTGATAGTCCTGGCCACAGCATAAATGGTTCCACCCTCTCCAGAACTCTCATCACATAGTGTACATTCCTCTACTAGCACAGTGTGTAATAATTAAATATGTACCTCCTTCACTACATAATGAGCTGCTTTAGTACTGGGATGGTGGACCTGACTCAGCTTGATATTAGTCGTGGTGATGGATGGATGAATAAGCAGATGGATGGATGGATGGATGGATGGTTGGATGGATGTATAGACAAATGGACAGATGGATCAATAGATGGCAAATAGATGAATGAATGAATATTAGACTAACAGTTGGCCTATGGATGGACATATGACTATTACACCCATATATAACAGCACCCCTAGTGGTCACCATATGCTTTACCTTATTCTTGGGTTCGAGTTGTATTGGCCCTTCTCCATTCTGTCACCAAGAGAGATCCGAATGATCCAAATGATCACACAGGTGATCTTTTCCTATAAAAATTTCTTTCTTGGAAGTGACTTAAAGGATAAGGTCCATTTCTCCCTATGCTTTAACACTGCACTCTGCCTTGTGGTTGTATCAAAGAACTTTCACAGCCCTACTGGTATATGGGGATGGAAGGGGAAGATTTAGAGTCAAAACTGGTTGAAGGACTGAGAGGCTCCCAAGGAAAAGTGAAACAGACATCATGCCCCCATTCAGTCCCTACTTCGTTTTCAGAGAAGGAGAGAGAGAAGGCCATTCCAAGGAAAGCATGATCCTGGCATGCCCCACCCTTGGGCCATGAGCTGGAATATCCAATAATGGGTAGGATAATGAACTAGAGTTACCCTTACCTGACAACTAACCCAGCCCCAACTCCTAGTCTAACCCCAATAACAATACAACAACAAACATTCACATAGCAATTACCATGTGCGCACAATCCAAATGCTTTACATGTATTAACATATTAACTCATTTAAGCCTCACAACCCTATGAGGTAAGGATTCTTGTTATTCTCATTTACAAATGAGGAAATTAAGACAAAGAGAAGTTACATAACTCATTCAAGGTCAACAGCTAACAAGTGGTAGAACTATGGAGCTAGAAATCCTGGCTCCCAAGTTTTTACTCTGACCATCAGATCATCCTGCCAAAGTAGCTAGCTCAGCCTGAACTCAGATCCCAACCCAGTCCGATCCTAATGACATGACTCTAACTCCATCTCCAACCCTCACTGTTCCTGACTGCACCAGTAATAGAACATCTAGAGAAGAATTTCCATTGCCAGAAAACATAGGAGCTATATGAACAAAATGAATACCAAAGAAGGCAAACAGACAAATCCAGAATGTGAGGTACTCCTTAGGACAACTCACCGGGTTTCTACAACATGTCAATGGCATTAAAAAAAAAAAATTAAAAGGGGAAAGATAAATACTTTAGATTCAGAAACTTAAGGATCATAAAAACCAAATATGAACAGTGGTTCTTGTTTGTATCCATCCCTGGTTGGGTAACTAAACCATAGCAAGCCTTTGCTGAGATAGTCGAGGTGGTTTGACAATAGGCTGAGTATTAAATGATAGGAAGGAATTAGTGTCAATTGTGTTAGGTATGATATTGACATTTGGCCCTATAAGTATGTGTTCATGATATTGAAGTACAGTTAGTTGTTATTATTTGCAGTAGTTACCAAAACACTGAATTAGTGAACACTGAATCATTCCCCCCGGGAAAACATGAGATTAGGGTCCTGTGAGCTTATGGTCACATTTTCATCAACCGATTAATACATAACTTTGTGTTATGTGTGTTTCTTTTTAAAAGCACATTGTTGAGCCAGTCAGTGGTATGGTGGTTAAGGATCTCACATGGCAGACTGAGCAGATCGAGTCCCAGACCCAGTGACTTGAAAATGTATTAGGCGTGTGTATGTGTGTGTGTGTGGTGTGTGTGTGTGTGTGTGTGTGTGTGTCCCCGAAATTCTGAAAGGAAAAATGGAGAAGGGCATGGTTATCCCCCATGGTGGGTGTTTTCTCACTTTTCCTTTCTTTCTCTCTGCCTTTCTCTAGTAAGTGCCCTCTAGCAAATTAAAAAATAAATTAAATCAATTAAATAAATTAAAAAATAAAAACACCTTATTTAATACTTATTGATTCGTTAACAGGGAGGTCATAGCCAATAGCACGGTAGTTCGTGCCTGAACAAAGCTTATGTGACACAAATATTTCCCCCACAAGGCACATCATGGCCTTCTTATGCTGACGTACAAAAGGCACATAGGCCTGGGACCAGAAGTTGGCATGATGGCTATGTTGCTGGACTCCCATGTAGTCCCAGACCCAGTGGTTTAAACTCACACTGGGTGCATGTGCATGTGTGCTCAAGGTCCCGAGAGGAAAATGGAGCAGAAGGGACTGCGGAATGGCCATACCCCCAGGGGATGATTTCTCGCTTTCTGTCTCTCTGTCTCTCTGTCTCTCTGGCCCTATATCCAAAAAAAAAAAAAAAAAGGCACGTAGGCCTTACAGGGAATTTTAAACAACAAGATCACCAATCAAAAGCACGAAAGTGTGAAGAACATGTATGTCACTAAATACGGATGAAGAGAATATTTGTTTAAGTATGAGAGCTGAAACAAGAAGGTAGTGTCACCTTGTTTGACCTCAACTGGTAGCCCAATTTGGGCTATTCAAATTTTTTATCTATCTGCACATGCCTGCGAATGACTAAGAAAGCACTGTGTGTTGATTCTGGCATTCTGCATACATTTCAAAAGTAGACAAATTTGCAAATATGGAATTTGTGAATAATGAGAATCGTCTGTATTTAAGAATAAAATGGCATGGTATCTGGGATTTGCTTTAAATCGTTTCAGTGGGGAGAAGAAAAAGGAATGAGGAAAGGATAGATGAAGCAAATGTCGGAAAATATTGCTAATTGCCGACTGTGGATGATGGTCATACGGGATATGGGGCCTGTTGGTCCAAGTCCTCTAAGAAGCAGGCACCAAGATGGGATTAAAGGTTTTATTTTATTAGGGGAAATGCCTGTGAGAAAGGAAATAGAGAAGGAGCCAAGCAGGCTGGGAGAGCCAGCCATCACTCTGAATGCAAGTCTGACTCTGAGTGGAGAAGGGAGGGAGAGAAGGTCGAGTCTGTGCATCCGGGATTGCAGTGGCGTCTTCCAAGTCTCCAGACAACTGGGCAAAGCCACGGGGGCATCTTCAAGGTCAAGTCACTGACAGTGGGTCCCACATCTCCCGTGTCGGGACTTGCCATGGCGTCTCTGCCACACTAGTAGAGTCCAGCTGGGGGAGGTGCAGCCTCTGTACAATCAGGGCAAAAACTCAAAGCCCAGCAGCTGGGCCCAGTGCCCACCAGGGC